TTTGAGGTTCTTCCCATTTGATGAACACAGACTTTGCACCATCTTGATAGACACCAGTCTGTTAGGACTACCTTGTCTACCCTGGACAAACTGTGTGCATGGGTATTTTTTCCTGTAATGTAACAAACCTGGAAAGTAATCCATTCTGAATCTGCAGAGTACAGAAGGTCCCCAATTTGCCTGCAGAGAGAAGAAGCATGAGTACTTCTTTACTGAGGTATGCAATCATCAATGTGTTGTATGACCATGATACAATACCCATTGACATGATCTATATACCCTTTCAGGGAAAGAACACAGTCCATATTATTGTATGTGTAGTAGGCTTCCATTCTGGGACCAATGACCCTGGAGGAGCACTCCTTTTGTTTCTAAGTGAGCCCATCTGTTTTAGAAATCGGACACATCGGTATACATATAGGAGTGGAATTCATGGGCATTCAGAGGAACTCCCATTAGAATCAGTATGTACCTTGTCAAATGCATGGTCTTGGCAGGTACTCCAATAACAATATATATCATATATGTCATATATATCAGTTAATCATGAAAAGGAATTCCATTCCATGTTTTACTAAACCAACACAAGACAACTTGTAACTCTTGAAAATTTTTCATTGATCCAATGGATGAGACAGGCTTGGGGATTGAGTGATCCATTCTGCAAATTTATTAATCTCTGATTTGTGAATTAGTATTAATTTTGATCCTCAAATGATGGAATTAGAATTCTCAACATGGTCACAAAGTCTCACCCCTTAAAATTATTTACAATGTCCATATGTTCCAGACAAACAATTACCAGCATCTCTCTCTATAACTGTAGCTTTTCACTTGGTGTGCTTGTTTCTCATATTGCCATTATCTAGCAGAAGCATTTTGGTGCTTCACATTTCAGGAAAAGCCCTTTCTTATCTTTCATTCTTTTTGATTATTGAGCTATAATTTCAAAAGTTACTACATCATCACCAACAGCATCCAAATTTGAGGCTACTATGGACAGTCTTGTATCTAAATACGAGGTTTCATCCTCCTCAAGGTCCATTGGTTCAACATCAACAACAGGATGAATGCTGTCTAAAAGTAGATCAGTATTAATTGTGATAGTAGCCTCATGTCAGACTCCATATTATGATTATTCTCAGTGTTCAGTCTGCTACTTGCAAAAAGGGGTTCACCAATTTCAGATGCATTCAAATCTACAGAATTACAATTATGGCATGTCCAGTGTAAACTTGTCCCCTTACATCTAATGAGATCCCAGTAGCACAAGTTGTGTTGCCACTTATTGCAGCCATCACATTGGATTGCATGTTGTCTCTGTGTTAACTTCTTTTTCACAGTAAAAGCATGCAGTATTACTAACCATTTTGGAAGGTAATGATTGGGGTGAAGTAAAATTTTAACATTTTATACCTAATTGTAGTGTTTTTTTACTATTCAAGAATGAAACTGATCAATTGAATGTAAATGTAATGTAAACATTGACAGCAGCACTGGCTGATAACTTGAAGAAATTTATTTGTTTACAAATGGTTTATGTCAACAAGCTGCCAGTTCTATACCCTGCTTTGTTTTGTAACAACTTTGATATTGTTGCTACATTAGCACAGATGCTTTGTTTTGGTTTTGCTTGCTTTCATATACTGGGACCATAATGAAGCCAATGCACTTCAATAATACATACAAACCCATCATCAAAGTGCAATGAAACTGACAAAGCCACAACACCATATGCTCTGTAGCAAAACACCTATTCAGTTGCAGCATGACATTTAACAGATTTCATAGATTTATAAAACTTGATATTCACAAGTCCTTAAGATAAGCCTTGTGGCTCAGTTGGTATGAAATACAACTTGCCATTGAGAAGCTATGGGACATTATTAATTCAATAATCAAGCTGATTAAAACATTTTAAAATGTTTCATGACTGTGCATGCACTAATCTTAGAATAACTGAACTAAAATGCAGAAACATAAGTCCAGTGGGAAATGTGATATTTTGGCCACATAATTATATAACAAAACTTAGTGAATTAATACATTTAATTAATAAAGGCTAATGCTATGGAAACATGACATGGTAACAATCATTTCATATAATATATTACTGAAGGGTTCAATTTGATCACATATTTGGATGCCATGTATAGCCTATTGTGTGCTGAAAAATGGCATTAAACCCCACAACAACAACTAGTGTGAAACTAAGCTGGTGCAAGATTACAGGGTTTGAGATAACTGTGATTCATGACAGGAGCCCTGTAAATGGTCTTGGGCTGAACTGACCTGTACCTAGCTACAATGTCATAGCCTTAACTTGTTTTATTGTGGTTGAGGCTACAAACGGATCCCATATCATGTAATGGAGCAAAAAAAACATCACTAAAATCAGAAACAACAAATAGTTTAAAAATCTACTAAATAAGTATAATCATTATGTCAAAGAAGTTTGACTTATTTTGAATTTATTAAAATAAATTGGCATAGTTATGCTAACTTCACCGTCTACCAAGACAGATAACGTGAGACTCTCGCCGTGACTCTTTTCTACATAAGGCTTGCCAGACTATATATGGATATTCTACGCTATGGCATTAGTTGTTGAATGACATAACGCTAGAAGATGGAGAATGGATACTTATATAAATTGCGGAACACAGTTTTTGTTAAGAAAATAATTGCTTCTTGGTGGAATTTCAAAGTCACTGGTAAACCATATTTACTTTTAGTGAGCAGAATTTCCGACTCAAGCCACGCCATATTTCTTTACGACAATCTAATTATGTTTCCAAATAAGGCATTAACATCCTTATATGGCACACAAACGAGGCTGAGAATGGAAGTAGGCATTATTTGAACTAATATGGTAAAAGATCAAAATGAAAATATCACATAATAAAGGTAAAGGTGATTTTACCACTATTTGTACAATGATTTGCGATAATTCCAATATTAAATAAGAGGACTACTCAATTTATTTCGTTATATATCAAAGAACATATTCAAAATTTTTTAAAGTATGCTAAAAAAGAGCCAGGTGTTAATCACATCTGGCTGCTCCAGTGACATACATAGACTCATGTTAGTACCCTTTCCACAAGGTGGGACTAAGAGTACTAATATTAGTACTAAACTGTACCTAGTCCTACATGTAAGACCTCAATGCTGATATTTGTTTTGGGCATTAGGGTCTTACTGCATAACTAACAGCGATGTGTAGCATGTTTTGATGTCTGAAATCATAACAAAAGTCAAATTTTCAGAAATATCTTGCACAACTAGTTGGAAAGTGATGAAAGCCAGAAATGCCAAAATCAGGTTAAGTTAAGTATTATTCTTTAATGAAACAAATAAAAATATATCATGCCTATTTGAATCATAAGCAACATTTCATTTCCCTCAAGAGATATATCCCATACATGAACCTACTTGAATCACTAGGGCTCAAATTTTATTCCACCAGGTTAAAATCAGCACAGTAAGTATATTAATTACATATTAATTTGTGGAAGAGTATAAATATAGGCTGCCAAGTGTGTGAGATATTCCTGAAACTTTGACTGCTCATTCCGATGTCAACCGACATCAGAACACTCTATACAAGGCCATTATTTGGGTAGTAAGTTATTGCACTAAAACATAAAAACATATGATACGTCTGACATGTAGGACTAACCTCAGGTACTCAACGCCAACTTGATGTTAAAAAAAACCCACTCAAGTATAATCATTTAAGCTAATCATATTTCGCCTTTTACGTTTGTGCCGCATAGTATACATATTTTCAAACTGAGTTTCACTTATATGGGATGTATTTGTGAAGAAAATGTCTAATACTTCCATGGAACAGGATTCATAACGTTGAATAGTTATTGGTAAGTAAGCACTTACTTTTACATCTACCACTGTTTTGTAATTGAAGAAGGGATGTATCATAGAGTCGCAAACATGTTATATGTAACTGCGCCGATTGTCACCTGAACATAGATGTGTCCACTCTGACAAAATTTGCACGTTTCGGAGCCCGTACTTCAGTTTTATGCAACGTAAAATAGTCAACGATGGCTTGATGAATAGAAAAATATCTCAGGAGTAAAACAAGCCATACAATATGACCGTATACCGATAGAAACGAAAATAGCAAAGGAAATCTAGGGTCATAGGTGGAACATTACATACCTTGTCTTTTATATAGTATGACAGTGAGGGTCCATTGTCAGAAAGGGTCATGGTAGTAATCTGAGGTTTTTTTTCACTCTGTATGACTTTTTCTTTAAGAATAATTTTTTTTTTTTTTTTTTTGTTTATTTAACATTAAGCTCGCGTCGAGTACCTGTGGGACTATCCTGTACTCTAACGAAAAAAATTTAATTTACTTATACCTCGTGCGTTCAACCTGATCACTTTTCAACTCGGATGCAATATTTACGTTGATGCCTTTAATGTCAGGTGCAAGGAAAACCGAGAAAATAACGAAGTTAAATATTGCACTCATATTCTTCACAGGGCGCAGACATATTTGCAATGCAGCGCCACCTATACCACGATACCTAAGATGTAAACAAAGCGCATACAACTCTCTTACTCAGTACGGCAAATAGACATAGATACACACAAAAAGGGAAATAAAAATGACACAGACAAAAACAACTCCAAAACAAAACAAAACAAAAACAAATAAACAAACAAGACTAGAACATGTGTGTGTGTTTCAAACAACAACAAAAACTAAAGAAATAAAGTAAGCGACGAGAATACTTACATCAAATCCACTTTTAAAATATATCTCATTGACTGCTTTGTGCAAGATCTGTAACATATATTGTCATCTGTTAATGCAAATATTACTTTGCCCTCATCATTTATAAAAAAAAAATTCCCTCATTCAAATAGGAAGTGATGTGATGTGATTATGCTTTTTAACGTAGCTTTAACAATTTTTCACTCATATCTCTACGAGGCAGCTATTAGTACCATTTTGTAAGTCTTAGTTATGACTCAACCGGGGATCGAATCCACGACCTCCCGCATCCGGGGCTGTCGCTCTAACCACTAAGCCACCGAAGCGGCCATTAAATTAAGAAGTTCAGTGATCAAATTAAAGAGATAAAACTTCATATAATGCATTTAACGTAAATCATTAAAGACACAATGCCGCCGTTCTGTGAAAAAAGTCGTATATGCCAAATCATTTTAATAATACTGAATCTTGAAAGATATTGAATCTAAACGTCGTTGTGTTCCATTAAAAGCCGATAGCATCTACCTGTTATTACATTATGAGCCATGTGATTTCTTCCTCCAACTGTGGACGAATTAATCCGATGTTAATTGGCGACATCCGTGGGTCAACCGATTGCAGTCAAAAATTGGAACACAATATTTGATGACATCACTCTTGTAAACATAAGTCAACACCACGCTATGTCGGATTGCCTTTAGCAAAAGTTCGAGATTTAAATGTTTTTACGCCTCAGATGACCGCGTATATTCATCCAAGTCTATTTTTTTAAAAAATCTATTGCACACTTTTTCTTCTCATACTCTCTTAACAAAGGCGGGCTTGCCTCTTTTCATTCCATCTCGAATTCATTTGTTTGCCACGTTCGAATGTGGTTGCTGTTAGATTATTCACTAACGGAATTTATCGAATGTATCACATCACTACTTCTGGAGCACACCTGAAAAAGAACATAGTTACGAGCGACTTCACTGACTGAATTAAGGGGTTGTTCTTCTTAATTCAAAACTGAATATTTAAACGTCGTTTAAACCTAACATCTTGATCGTTTCAAAGAACGTTTTTTCAGATAGTTTTTTTCTGTTGGATTCTTTTTAATATAAAAAACCCCAATCGTGTCCAGCCTTACAATCATTAGTTACCTAGTAAAACTAGTGAAATATATGATCAATTGCGGAATTGGGGTTTTAAGAGGTGGGGATATGAGATGTTTGGAAAAGGGAAAGATAACGCTCAGTGATATTATTGGCACATTTGTGTATTCAGTGTTTGTATTCATACAAGCAGAATGACGTTGCTAAAATGTCAGAGAAATGTGGAAAGTCTGCAGATGGTCAGCGTCAGATCAGTATTGACTTGTACTTGTGAATCAGTTATGGGTTGTAGGGTCGTAGAGAGCTATCACGGGCCGAGGCTCTCCTAGTTCTTTATAAAAAAAAAATATTTTATAAAATTAGAAAGTGTTGTTCTACTCGGGCTCTCTTACGGGCCTGAGCCCCGGGGATATATATCCGATTTTTAACCCCCTCCTCTTGTCGGCCCAGATGGGTTGTACCATAGTCAAGACGCGTGAAATTGTGACAGTCTGTCAGGACTCACCTTCAAACGTTTATATATTATGCTTAAATTGCGGTCAGATTCCGAACAATGGGCTTGACAACAAAACAAAATGCATTACCTTGGCGTTTGCATGAGGCAAGGAAGAAAAAGGAACTACACTTGAACTGGCTGAAATAAGCACTTTTATGTTTTGAACCCAATAGTTTATGTGAAATAAAGGCAAAAATGGCATTTAAAACTTATCAACATTACATTTCCCGCTATGATCTAGATTACCCCACAATGTTAAACCGCTGCACATTTTTTTAGCATAGGATATCCCCTGTACCAAATACTGTCATCACATCCCCATTTTAAGATCCTCTTATGCCCCAGACTGCCCTTCAGTGTTAAGTGACCCTTTTTTCCCAGTCTGTTTAAACTGAAATAAGGTGCTCTACTTTACTACTTAGAACCTCAGATTATTTTGTCAGTGTTGGTAAAAATGCATATATTTGACTGATGTCTCGAATAACTACAATCAAAGGAACAAACTTATTATATACAACTGAACGTGACTAAAAGTAATACCAAAGTACTAAACTGCCACGGAACTAACCAGTAAAATCAATTGGTAGAGTCTAAATGGTATGCTAAACTTTAGAAACTAATATGGACTTCAGCAGAGACTAAAAGATAAGTCAGGAATTTGATATAAAAATTATACCTTAAACTAAAAGTAGTATTATAAATATTACGAAACTATCAGAGATTCTAGCTGAGACAGATAGAAAGGAAAAATTTATGAATTATGATATAAAAACCTGTCACACATTTTAAAAAACTCAGTGAAAATTAAGTATGATAGCTTAGACTAAAAGTGGCATTATGGTCATTACCAGAGACTAAAAATAAAATCAATTTTTACCTTAAAAATGTAGCTCACTAAAATGACATTCCCTCTAAGATGTAAAAAAATGTTGTTTCACAAATTGTTAAAGAACCTTTAAATTTGAAAAATTACAAAACAATTTTGCAAGTAAAATAAAGAATGAAAAGAAAAGCAAGCAAGAAATTATACCAAACTCAGCCGAAAATGCCCCCTCCCTTAAAAAATATTTTTTTTTCGAAAAGTTAAAAAACAATTGTATAATTTAAAGGAGCGCTACTGCATAATATAAGAAACATTCTAGAAACTTAAAAGGACGATTATCCTGGGAAAAACAACTTTCTGCCCCATAAACATTTGGACTTAGAAAGATAATTAAAGTCAAACTTCAAGATTTGGAAAAAGGTGAAACAAGCTTTTAATTCTATAAATAGCACACATGAAGTCTGTATACATATTAAAACAACAATGGCGGTTTGAGACCGCTCCGATGGCCTAAGTTGTTAGAGCGCCCGTCTCGGATGCGGGAGGTCGTGGGTTCGAACCCCAGCAGAGTCATACTCAAATATCATAAGAATGGTATTTGCAGTTACCTAACTAGGTGCTCAGCATTAAGTGGTAAGTGTTAGGACTGGACGGCCTGGTGTCAAACTAATGTGACTAGGTGGAATATCATGCAACATGTCTGTATACACCGTAATTGTTAAAGCTACGTTATAAATTCAAATATCTCTCACACTCACACACACACACACACAGACACACACACACACACACAGAGTAGAAGCTCATGATTGTATGCAAATAATCAGACTAGAGAAGATGCTCATCCAAGACAGAGATGTGTTTTGTGGAAAATCCGCCTGTACATACGGAATTAGTTTGATCAAAAAGATGGAGAAAGAAGATATAGAAGACTACAAGACTGCACAAAGAATCCGATAGAGCCAGATGCTTCCAACCTATCTGGAAAATGGCTTAAAATAAATTGATAGGAAGGAATGACGGGAGTCATAAAATCGTCCTACAAATGACTGATTACTAATGTTTCAGATGGTGCCATAATTTCCAATTCATATTTTCAGAAAATTAAAATTACAATTTTTTTTTAAATTTATGATAGAGGAATGGATATACATTAAATAATGATTGAAAGTATTATTACAGGCAATTAACATGGACAGTGAAGCGTAAATACATACTTTTTTGAGAGCATGATAACAGGTTATGTCATATATATATATATATATATATATATATATATATATATATATATATATATATATATATATATATATATATATATATATATATATATATATATATATATATATATATATAAACTGTTTATAATTCAGTTGCTTTTCTCAACAATTCTTGACTGTTCATGGCGTGGACTGCGGATTCATTCAGAAGCAGGGAATCATAATTTTTTATTTGGTGTTAATTTATATTCCTTATTCATTATCATTTTTCAGATACTACATCATACAAATGACCTTTAATCACTGTTATTGTTCAACATAATTATTCAAGCCAGCTTGCTAGAGGCCTGGTACTGATACATTGTCGAATCCAAAACCATTTTATCTGCTTAGATTTCATTGTGAACTTAGCTTACAGTGATAGAAATGTAAATGTTATGTATGTATAATTTTATCCTGATGAGATCTATACCTGAGTGTCAATGTTTCCGAAGAATGTGTTTGTTTCTGTTTACAACATATATTTAAATTTGTGTTCTTGGAAAGAGGAATGTGATGTTTTGTATAATTATTTGTATGTAAAACAGTGCTACTGTTCCAGTACCATAACATGAAATAATTCGGTGTCTTAAAATTATTATCTAAAGGAGAAAAAAAATCACATTTTTATTGTTTGCCAACATTGGGTAGACTTTGAATATGTAATTATCAAAGGAAATTGGCTATCACAAATACCATGCAATCCCCTAGAGACAATTCCACACAATACCTACAATCTATCCACAAATTATAAAAGCTTTCGTTTTCCATTTTTAAAATTGAAGGAAACAATAATAACAAATAATTATAATCTGATGCAATGTGAATATGTTGTTAAATGTGGTTTCCATTTTTCTATTTATTTCGTGTATGTACCTCACAACCGTTCTACTGTCAAGACACTAGAATGGAAATATTACATTTTATTAATAAAAAAAACCCCATAACGACAATTGAAACATATTAATAGGGAAGATAGAAAATACTGATTTAGCTAGAGCTTGAATAGTTTGTTGTTGTTATAAAATTGTACACAGTACTGAACATTTAAAACAAAAATGTATTGCTGATATGATAATGTTTGTGGTTCTGTTATATCATTTTTTTTAAAAATATAAATGAAAATAAATTTCTTTTATGTTTCTTATGTCATGACAAACTATTTTATTAAAGGTGTGCAGATTTTTCTCAATTTTTGGATCTTGTTTGAAATCTTTTCATAATTAGTAATGCGAGTCCTAATGTTTTAGCTAAAATATAATAAAAGCGACTTTAGACCCTATGCATTTTTAAGAAAGGCTTGGAGTATGTAATAGGCACGTGTATTTTGTTTTTCAAAACCTCCACCATCCTTTAATTAGATCTTATCAATAGAGACTGACGGACAAAAACGTTTTTTTCAAAATTGCATGATATTATATTTAAGGAAAGAACCTTTAACTTGTCAAGAGATAACTAAATTAAATAATTAATTGCGCTTCCAATTGTCAATAACGTTACCATTCAAGTTTCTATAGAGACAGAGGGGGATATGTGGAAGTTGCGTATTTAATTGTTTGTAATTATATTGATAAATATTCCGAGCCCTCGACATTCAATGTATTTGTTGATTCAATGTCGCCTGCTGTCTTGAAACATTGTTCTGCTAGTGGTAATCT